CAAAACACCTGTATCAGACTAATTTTTGGGTTGAAACGCAGAGATCACGTCAGCTGTAAGCTGCCGGTTTTAAAGTGGTTGAACATGCAGGGGAGAAGAATGTTGCATGCTGTAGGTTTTTACCATAAATTACTCACTCTACATAAACCAGCGTATCTTGTAAAAAAGTTGTCTTTTCGGGGTGACGTGCACTCGGTTAATGTGAGGTTTAAGGGAAGGCTATCTCCACCAATATTCCACACTATGAGTTTTAAAAAATGCTTCTCATACCAGATATGCAAAGTAATTAATGAGCTCCCTTCTGGTTGCGCATTGACAGAGTGTGGGTCTGCCGCCACCGCCAGGAGGCGCTATGCTGATTTTCTGTTTGGGCAGCAGTGTTCGCAATACCTGTAAATCTCTTAATAGTCACAGATCTTGCTTTTGCGTTTGAATGTTTTTGTAATCTTTTTGTTCTACCTAAATTTGTTCTTAATTTCTGGGGAACCCTTTCGAGTACTGACATGGTATCGATAACGACTTGTTGTGGCCTTTGGTAGTATTCACCTAAGTATTATATGTTAAAACTTAGTAGTTAAAACTCTTGTTTTGTTTATAGCTTTATACCGTTGTCGCGATTCTTTTTTTTTATATTTAACACGCTATACTGTTTTTTTTTCTCTTTATATACTTTATGGTGAGGTGGAAGAACAATATATATTGAACCTCACCATAAGATTGATCAGTTGTTTATTGGAAACCATTTTTAGTTGTTTATTCTGAAGTATAGTACATTGTGATCAATAAATATTATTATTATTATTATTAAATCTTCGGTAGTCCGTAAATTCTTGGTAGTACCGGCGCCTGCACAAACAATCCTTTCTGCTGTTCTGCTGGAATCATTTTCCTTACGATTTTGTCCTTTTTGATCTTCCTGTAGGTGGCTGGTTCCAGTAGGTTCACCGTTTTGTCGTCATATTTTTTCTTGTCATAAGCGGTGGCATTCCGCTTGTCTGCTGGTAACACGATGATTTCTGACTTTTCTTTAATAGATCGGAGTGCCTACTTTTCGCCAACCGTCAAGTTGGATTTTGGTGGTTTTGCTGACTTCAGTATTCTTGCAACTTCTTGTCGGATCTCTTCGGCTTTTAGTGCGGGCATTCCTCGAACACTGCTTCCACTTCGCAGATGATGTCCTCTTTTGGGAGTTTCTTCGGGGCGATTGCGTAGTTCAATCCTTTGGCAAGCATAGTGGTTTCGTCTTTTGTTAGTGGGACATTCGATCTGTTGATGACTATTATATCTACTGGTAAACTAATACTTTTCTTCTTTTGTATCCGGCGTTCAGAGAAAGGGATGTAAGGTTGAAGGAGATCCTGCAGTCGGTGGTTGCGGGGTTTGACTGCACTTTCGGCCTGATCATTACCTTGTGGCTTGCTTTGCGCTTAGACCTGACATTATGTGTTGTTCTCTCGAACGATACTTCTTTATTGACCACTGTTACAAGTTACTTACAGCTTATATTATACTAATGCATTGGTATATGATGTAATATAATGATACACCTCAATGTTTGTTAGATAAACTTTATTCATTAGGTACTTCGTGTTACAAATTACTCTAGTTTTCTTGTTCGTAACCGCCATAATGGTTCCTAATTACCAACCGTTTACAATAGAAAGTCCTATATTGCACATTTAGTTGCCTAACTCACAGACCTACCAGAGCCCCGCTACAACGAGAACAGACGTGTATTAAATCGCGAAACTCGAACTGTGAATGATTTTTAATTAATTTTAATAATTTTTTTAGTCGGATTATTCAATTGAATTTTTAAATCAACGAAAAAACCCCTTTTTTATGATGATAGCCCCCCCAGCTTGTCACAGCCCTTTCCAACCAGCCCCACGTCATATCGGAGCTTTTAAAGGAACGAAAGCTTTAAAAACGCCTAATTTTAATTACTCATCTCACGATGTAAGTGTTTTAACCTACAAAAAAATCGCATTTAAATCTTTTTTTTTTATTAGAAACATTGGATCGTTGAAATGAACCCGAATTATTTACCGACGAATATAACAAGTTTAGATCGAATTCAACAACTCAGAATGGAAACTTTGTTATCCGTTGATGAAATGGTTGAGCGGCTAATAAAAAAATTAATTGATTTAAAAATTTTAAACGAAACTTACATCATTTTTACCTCAGATAATGGTTTTCATATCGGGCAGTTTACTCAACCTTGGGATAAGAGGCAACCGTACGAAACGGATGTTAAAGTCCCCTTTTTCATTAAAGGGCCCAAAATTCGATCGAAATCTTTGGAAAATCGACCGATTTCGACCATCGATGTGTTACCAACGATTTTAGATTTAGCCTCGATCGAAATTCCGGGAGATATCGATGGAGTTTCGTTTAAACAATATTTATTTAACCCTGGCGATTCTAAAAAGCCTTTTTTTGATGATAAAAATATGAATGATTACGTTTTTTTGGAGTATTTCGGCGAAGGAGGAGAAAGTGTTGATGAAAATTGTTTCATTTCATCGCCGAGAGATGTCGCTGAGTGTTCGTTGGAAAATTGGTGTAAATGTCAAGATTCGAAAAATAATACTTTTACTTGCGTTAAGATTTTTGGGAAATACGAGGATTTTAAATATTGTCAGTTTAAAGATGATTTGGTAAGTAAATTAGTTTTTATAAATGAGTACTAATTAAAATAATTTTTTAGGGGTTTATTGAAGCTTACGATTTAATGCTAGATCCTTATGAACTTAAAAATGTTTATACTCAACTTAAAACGGATCAAATTAATTATTACAATCACCTTTTAAATCGATTCAAAAATAAAATAAATTAGTTATTTAACACCACATATTCTTTCCTTTTCAACCCTACTCATTCCAGATCTAACCTGATAGGTTGGCGATCTGCTTGTGTAGTTGTAGCTGTAATCACTATCTGTACCCTACAAAGATGGGAAGACACTTGAAAACATGGAGAATCCCGGGAATAGAGGAGGCCAATCAAATTAATCACGCCCGTTGTATCGATCAAATATACATAAGAGAAGAGCAAGAGATCGAAAATAATGGCAGTTAGACAAATTCGGTGATACTTTAATCAATATCATGTGTTGTAAAGAATAAGAGAGCGATCCTCAGAACTTCCACAGAACTTTTTATTTGGCACGTAATCACTCGTGTACGGTTCTTTTCCACCTAATGTCTCTACCCGACACCCCACCAGTGTTGCAGGAAGATGTCAGCTTCGCACTACAGATGGCGTTAGTTCTTACACATGTATCAACAAGTCAAGAAAACTGGAATGAGGGGTAAGCCACCACGAAAATGTGAATCAAAGATAGGAAAAGTTAAGGAAAGTTATAATTGCCACTGTTAGAATAATATGTTCAAATATTAGGTTACTTTCATTTAGCTTTGAAATACCACTTACAGTAGCCACTCGACAATAGATGGCGCTTTAGTTGTCTTGTTAACATTATTTTCGGCGTCGATGTCACCTTTTACTCTATCTAGTCGTTGTACCGTCCTCATCTAGTTAACGTGAATTGTATCTTAAAGCACAGATCTTTAAAAATAAAAAAAAAAACAATTCAAACGTGGAAAACAAACAAACGTGATTCAGTACAAAATGACCACACAACAAGAACAAAAACAACATAAAAATTTTCAATTTGAGAATTTTAATGAAGAATAGGAAGAATGGAGTTATTATTTTCAACGTCTTGAGGTGGAATTGGCGATACATGGCGTTAGGACAACCGATGACACAGCACGGAACTTGTTGTTATCCAAAGTAGGAGCAAACGCTTTCAAGGTACTTGTAGATTGTAGCATATTAGGTTGGCAATACCAACCAGTGTGAAGTATAACCATAACGGTATGACGAAGACGACAAGTCAAGACACGTTATTGCACGTTATTACGAGTACTGTGAAATAAAATAATTTTAGTTTTGTTCAATAAAGTAATAGTGAAAATCCTGACTTTTATTGGCAGAACACAACATAGATTATTATAAACCTGAAAGTGTAATTACAAAATCATATTATGCTACAAGCAAATGGTAGAAGTTCTAAATAAGTATTACGGTAAGAAAACGTTCGTCTTGTCTGAACGCGTTACATTTACAACAAGATATCGTAAAGAAAACGAATCAGTAACACAATTTATTACAAACTTGCGTGGATTAGCTGGGAATTGCGATTTTGCCGCTGGTTTAAACGAACGCTTAAGGGATCGGAATAAATAATTCATCATGGCAACAAGAGTTAATACAGGAACACCCCAACAACTATTCGACGTTTTTCGGAAGTAGAAGCAACCGCTCTAAAGTTGGAACAAGCCAGCTTACATGCAGAAAAATTAACGTCGTAAAGTCGACAAGATCAAGAGCCTTTTGGACCCAACCACCTATAAGAAAATAAAAAAGGACCCAACCGAGAAGATAGTAAGGCAGATGAAAGAACTGGTAAAATCCACAGAAATCCCAGCAGATCAACAAAAAAGCTTATTCGTACAGGCTCCAGTACCACCAAGGATATATGGATTACCCAAAATCCATAAACCAGACGTCCCACTACGCCCTATTGTCAGTGCCATAAATTCTCCCACCTATCAACTAGCAAAACACCTTTCCAAGATTCTGTCTCCTTTTACAGGTAAAACAGAGTCATGTGTCAGAGATTCCACACATATTGTAAAATCAATTAGGAGTATGAAGCTAGACCCTAAGGATATGCTGGTAAGTTTTGACGTGGAATCTCTATTCACCAGAGTACCAGTTAAGGATGCCGTGGATGGTCTTCGCCAGAAACTCATCCCGGAGGGTTTGCCCAAGTATGTCCCAGGACTAGTGGAATACTACCTATCGTCGACATATTTCAGCTGGAAGTGGGAATTTTACGAGCAATGCGAAGGAGCAGCCATGGGATCACCTCTGTCTCCTGTGATAGCCAATTTTTACATTGAGATGTTTGAAGAGGAGGCGCTAAAGAAGAGTCTTTGAAAACCGAAGCTATGGCTCCGTTACGTCGATGACATTTTCGTGATCTGGCAACATGGAAAAGAGCAACTCCAGGAATTTCTAGACCACCTCAATTCACAGCACCCCATGATAAAATTTACCATGGAAACAGAAAATGCAAAACAGTTGCCATTCCTGGGTGTGTTAGTCACTAGAAAAACAGATGGGGGCATGGAACTGGGAGTATATCGAAAGAAGACACATACGAATAGGTACCTGCAGGCTTCATCCCACCACCACCCACAACAGAAGAGGTCCGTGATTCAAGCCTTATTCCAGCGAGCAGAGAGGATATGCGATAAAGAGAACCTAAGAAAAGAAGAAAGATTCCTAGAACGGCTACACGATGAGAGATATCCGACGATCCACCAAACCACACCGCCGGTTTTATCTGCCTTCCTTATGTTTTAGGTGTGACGGAGCGAATTGCGAGGCGTCTGAAGAAGAATGATATCGTGGTACGATACGGTACGGTCAGCAAAATACAAAACGCTCTTCCGATAGCCAAAGACAAACTAACCCCATTAAAGGGAGGCTATCGTGCAGTTGCGGGAAATATTACGTTGGCCAAACTGGACGTAACATCGAGTGCCGCATCAAGGAACACGAAAGAGACGTCCGACTAAGAAAGATCCAACAATCTGCAGTCGCAGAGCATTGCCACAAAGGAGGACACAGCATAGAGTTCGAAAAAACCAAAGTGCTAGCAAGAAACGGACATTACTTCCAAAGATTGACGAGAGAGGCGATAGAGATTCATCGACATGGGAATAACATGAATAGAGAAGATGGCTGGGAACTCAACGAAGCCTTCTCCACCCGGATTTGACAAAACAACTTAGTTGACAATTAGACACTAATTAGTTATTAATTACCTTTTCATGTATTTATTGTCAAATTTTAAAACGAATTCGTCACTTCGAACTTGTTTCTGAAGAAGGTTGCAACATGGCATCCGAAACGTCAAACATTTTTTCAAAAAACGCACGGCTTAACCCGAAAGATTCTAGTTCTAGGTCTAGTGTTAGTTCTTGTGATAGTGCTAGTGTTAGTTTAAACAATGTTTATTTTGCGGAAAAGAAAAACATTTTTCATTGGACGAATGTCCACCAAGGGAAAAACATGCTCAGCATGCGGAAAAAAGGGACATTTTGCGAGAGTTTGCATCTCCAGTGGAAACATTAGCGCTCCAAAAACAAACACCAGGCAGGTAAGAAGAGAACACGAATGTGGGACGGATTCAAGCTCAAATACGTCAGACATTTGCAATATCAAAAACGCCAAAAAGGTAATGTTAGACGTGAAAATTAACAACGTAAAGAAGGAAATGTTATATGATCCGGGAGCACAGTACTCAATAATAAGAAACAGATTCTGGAGAGAGATAGGAAAACCGATATTAAAGACAGCAGACAACTTAGTTGCGTATACGGATATGGAAATAGAAACTCTAGGAACTGCTAAGGTTATCGTAGAGGCGTTTAACAAAAGAAAAGAGTTGCCACTAGTTGTGACCAAGAAAGACGACATACCACTTTTTGGATTGGATTGGTGCTTAGCGTTTAAATTGCCAATGCCAGAAGGTAAACGAATCTGTACCCTAAAACAAAACAAAGGAAGATCAGTCTAAAAATAGCAAAGAAATAAACAATTGGATGATGTTTTGAACAAAGTTTTACAGGAACACAGTGGATTATTTGATGGAACAGTTGGTACTATCCGAGGACATATGGCACGAATTTACATTCCCGATAACATTACACCCAAGCATTTCAAACCACGACCAGTACCATCGGCTTTACAAGAACAAGTGACTGCAGAACTAAACAGGTTAGTAAAAGAACAAGTATTAGAACCAGTTAACGCGACAAACACTCCCATAGTGTGGGCTACCCCGATCGTAGTAGCAGTTAAATCAAATGGCAATATACGGATATGTGGTGATTTCCGGGTAACCATAAACCAACATGTACAAGTAGACAACTATCCACTTCCCCGTTTTGAAGACATAGCTTCAAAATTATGCGGAGGAGTACATTTTTCAAAAATAGATCTAAAGGATGCTTATTTACAATTACCTGTACATCCTGAAAGTCGAAAATACTTGGTTATCGCAACACATAAAGGCTACTATGCTTATAAACGCCTTCCTTTTGGAATTTCGTTTGCACCGTCTTTATTTCAAAGAACTGTGGATCAAATACTGTGTGAATTACCAGGTATTGTATGTTATCTGGATAATATTCTGATAACAACACCTGACAAACAAACACATATTGAAGGCATTAAACAAGTATTATCTAGATTACGAGAAGAAGGAATTAAAACACAGGAAACAAACTGTACATGGTTACAGGAGGAAGTTAAGTTTTTAAGATATAAAATAGACAAAATTGGATTACATCCAACCGCAGAACGAAATATGTCCGAATTAAGATCAGTTCTGGGATTGATAACATATTACGGAAAGTTCATAAAAAACTTACAAATTAAGTGTGTGCCATTACACAGACTTTTAAAGAAAAACACTGTTTGGAAGTAGACTCCAAATGACGATAAAGTCTTTAATGATGAAGCTACTTTGGTTCATTATAACTCAGAACTTCCATTATACGTAAGTAGTGATGCATCGGATAAGGGAGCTGGAGCAGTATTATGGCATAAGATGCCTGACAACTCATTTCGACCCATAGCATATGCGTCCAGAACATTTACTGGAGTGGAAAAGCGCTATTCCACTATAGATAAAGAAGCATTGGCGGTAGTCTATGCTGTTACTAAATTCCATCAATATTTATATGGTAGACAGTTTGTATTACAAACAGACCATAAATCGTTGGAACGGATTTTCAGTTCGAATCGAGAAACACCGAAGATCGCTAGCAATCGTCTATTGCGATGGACTATGATTTTAAATAGCTATAACTATGATATTACCTACAAACCAGGAAAAGAAAATCAGACAGCTGATGTTTTATCTAGGTTACCTAAAATTGGTTTACCTAAGTATGGACATCTACTTCATTTAAGAGTGAAAAATATGCCTATGACACAGAAA